AATCTTTACCATTGTATCTTGTAAAGTATTATACTGCATTGTATAATGTATATCATTATCCTGTGTATAATGCTACCATAATATAAGCTGTAGGAATAATATTTATTTATAGTAATGGAAAATATTAAGAAGAGCTAACTGTAGGAACAAGTCATTGACATTTGGATTCTATTAGAGAATTCTTTGATAGGTTTACATGAGCAAATATGTTTAATATTCACTGCTTTTTCCATTTAAAAATATTGCATCTTAAATGCCAATTTTTCACCTGCTAATTGATGGATTTATTCGCTGCTGGCAAATAGTTGTGATCTTTAATGTAATTATGTGCTTCAAAAATTACAGATGTAACTTTAAACACACTGTCTTTTTTGGTTTTTCTTATAGTTATGCTTAAGAAAAATAGACTTTGTTTAAAATATTGGCTTTTTCCTTTTCCTAATCCATGTTAGTCTAGGATTAAGGAAGCTTTGATAGTTACTTTTCCAAAGGTAAAATAAAAAATTTAAAAATGTTTTATGTTCAAAGGTCAGTTCTTAGAGGAGATCCTGAGTTTTAGCTAGTACTGTTTTCAGTTTTACTTAAGTTATAATCAGAAATAGTAAACATGTACAGTGAAATTGTGTTTTAATTCAATTCATACTTATGGTGACAGTTTGTTTTTATGGACTATTTAGGATACCAAAGTTGAAATAGATAGGCGTCCGGCCAAGTGCAGCAGCTCATGCCCACAATTCTAGCACTTTGGGAAGACTAGGTGGGAGGATTGCTTGAGACCAGCCTGGGCAACATAACAAGACCCTGTCTCTACAAGAAAATAAAAATAGAAATAAATCTAGCTGGGTTCAGTGATGTGTGTAATCTCAGCTACTTGGGAGGCTGAGATGGAAGGACTGCTTGAGCCATGATGTCTAAGTTGCAGTGAGCCTTGATCACATTCTAGCCTGGGTGACAGAATGAGACCCTGTCTCAAAAAAAAAAGTTCCTTTCCTTTTCTCAAATCTAGTAAATCTCTTATGTGAGGTGATCATATGAACTAGTTTACCAGTGACAGTCCTGGTTAATTCTGATTGCTCTAGCTTAATTATTACTAGAGCTACCTTTTACTTTGAAATATGTCATGGTTTGGATGACCGTAAGCCATATGGTCAGAGCCTGGTGCAGTGGCTCATACCTGTAATTCCAGCATTTTGGGAGGCTGAGGTGGGAGGATCACTTAAGCCCAGAAGTTTGAGACCAGCCTGGACAACACAGTGAGACTTTGTCTCTACAAAAAATAAAAACAAATTAGCCAGGTATGGTGTGTATCCCTGTGATCCCAGCTACTCAGGAGGCTGAAGCAGCATCTCTTGAGCCTGGGAAGATGAGGCTACAGTGAGCCATGATCGCACCACTGCTCTCCAGCCTGCGTGACAGAGCAAGCACCTTTTTCTTTTTACTTCAAAAAGCTTTACACTTTTTAAAAGTACTTTAAAGCTTTTTAAAAGTACTTTAAAATTTGATTGTAGGGCCGGGCGCGGTGGCTCAACCCTGTAATCCCAGCACTTTGGGAGACCGAGGCGGGTGGATCATGAGGTCAAGAGATCAAGACCATCCTGGTTAACATGGTGAAACCCTGTCTCTACTAAAAATACAGAAAATTTGCTGGGCATGGTGGGGCGCGTGCCTGTAATCCCAGCTACTCAGGAGGCTGAGGCAGGAGAATTGCCTGAACCCAGGAGGCGGAGGTTGCGGTGAGCCGAGATTGCACCATTGCACTCCAGCCTGGGTAACGAGAGCGAAACTCCGTCTCAAAAAAAAAAAAAAAAAAATTTGATTGTAAATTAATTAGCCTCATCATTGAAAAAAAACTGGGCTCTCTCAGTCAGGATTGGAGTGAAACACCTATTTATATTTTAGACTTTTAAATTTATTTCTTAGCATTTTGGCACACATGCTTTTTTACTTGCCTTACACTAGATATGTACATTTGAAAAATGAATATAAATTAACTTCTAATAGAATTAGAAAAATGGTTATACTAGCTTTCCCAGACCTGGTTGTGAGTTGTTTCATGTGCTAAATTTAAAATCAAGTAGACTGAAGGGTTTTGAATTATGTTGTAATCTCAGAAGAGACAGTGTAGGAAGTGCTTCAAAAAATTGTGATCATGTTCTACTGTCAATGATGGCATATAGCCATATTCCTAGCCTTTTTTTTTTTTTTTTTTTTTTTCCGTTATGGAAAGAGCCCTGAACTGGAAGATAGGATGAGAGATTAAATTCTGACCCTATCTCTGATTACCTGTATGTTACATAGACAAGTCTTATTTCCCTCACTGAAAGAGAATATTAATACTCACTGTGCCCAAAGGGTTGTTGTAAGAATAAAATAACATATTTGAAATTTCTTAAAGAAGAATTAAGAGAAGTTTGAAGCAGCTTGCCTATTGGGAGAATGGCAGAAGGCTTTCCAGGCAGAAAGCATGTGTGAAGACTATATTGTGGAGAATCATTGTTGAGTTCTGTAACTGCAAGGATATAATAAAGTATTTGTATAAGTTGATATTGAGAAGGCATCAGCTGCACCATCTAATTTGCTGAATGAATTCTAATTTTTCATTCTAATCCTGTTGAGCAAATAATTTCTCTGTACTTTGGTTGTTGATCCATGAAATGAAGATAATAATATATACCTTGAATATTTTACAGGATCGTTGATAGGATTAAATGATATATATATGTAAAAAACTGTAACAATGTAAGAAACTTTTGTTAACAGTAGATATATTTAAGAGCTACAGCTAATCAGAGAGATCTCTTCCATGGCTAAAGTTGTATAATTATAGTGAAACTGTTGAATTGCTAGGCAAATTGTGAAAGATTTATAATTATAGAAAGGATTACACTATATTGTTAAATGATTTTACATATGTTATCTTGATTTACATAATTGAGTTTAGGTAAGTTAGGTAGTATTATTATTATATGGTTGTTATTAGTTTTATTATATTCTAAAGGATTTAAAAAATGATGTAGCCCAATGGCAAAATTATATTGAAAGAAGAAACTAATCTATTCATTTATTTCATGAATTAGTGGTTACAATAAATCATTCATTGGCCAAGCATGGTGGTTCATGCCTGTAATCCCAGAACTGTGGGAGGTCAAGGCAGATGGATTGCTTGAGTCCGGGAGTTTGAGTCCAAACTGGACAACATGAGGAAACCCCGTCACTACAGAAAATACATAAAAATTAGCTGGGCATGCTGATTCGAGCCTATAGTCCAAGTTATTCTATAGGCTGAGATGGAGGATTGTTTCAGCCTGGGAGGTGGAGGTTGCAGTGAGCTGAGATCTTGCAACTGTACTACAGCATGGGTGACAGAGTGAGACCCTCTTTCAAAAAAATTAATAATAATAAGTTAATGTCCATTATTATTGGGCTTTTTCCAGCATTAATAAGTGTCTCCACTTTTTTGTATTTGCTGTGCACTATTCAGTTTCCCTATTTCATCTTTATTCATTAGCTACTTTACCTAACTTCTAAGGAGGCAGGGTTTTGGTATTTTTTTTTAAACTCACATTCAATTATTATAACAGAAGTCAAGTTAAATGAAAAGATGATGTGCTTTTAGTCAGGTTTCTTTTCTCTTTGCACCTTTTTCTCCTTCACTTTCTCTGAACTAAGTTTACATATTATGCAAACAAATATGGTATTTTCTTAATTAAAGTATATGATTAACTGTTCTGTTTTTAAATTTTTAATCGGCTTGACTAGAGCATTCACATAATGTGTTTTTCAGAGCCAAGCCTCAGGATCACATTATAGGTTATAGTGAATTACTTATTGTAACTAGACCCTCTTGGACACAGTCCAAGATAAACTTGTACTATTCAAAATTGTGTGTTTCACTGTAATGAAAAGTGTTACTTGAGGGTCCAGTGTAGTCAATCTGTTTTTACTATAATTTTACCAATGTAAACATTTAAACAATGAAGTCTTTGCATCAATGCTGGACATAAAAGTATTTACAGAGTACATATTGATTGTCCATTTTGCTGCTGTTTGGCCCTTTAAAAATTGGCCACCAAATGCAGGAAATAAATTGAAGTTTATTAGAAAATAGCTTTCTCACAGAAGATCGAGTTTCATTGCATCTCGGGTTTTGTGGGAATGGATCAAATACATCAGACAAAAATAGGCTAAAGTTCCTTCTTCTCCATTTGAAATGTACTCATTTCTCAGAACATCTATTTTAATTGTATTTTGCATTAGAATTACATTGGTAAAACTAAAGAAGAAGCAGGTTGACCATACTTGTCCTATAACATGATGTATTGGACACGTCTTGGGCCCTGCTTGCTCCAGGCATTTCAGTGGCAACCAGATTCATGCAGGTGAAACTTGACAGTCCCTCACCTGACTTTTTGTCCTGGGAGCTTCTCTGAAGCCAGCAGAAACAAGTATGCAACTTGAAAGCATAAGAAATTAGCAACCTGAGAGGCAGCTCTTAACTGATGGAAGTCAGAACTTGTGGATAAGTGCCCTTCTCTTGTGTTTTCTGACAGGCTATTCTGGGGTAGTTTCATGGCCCCTAAGAAGACACTGGGCTTGAGCCTTGTTTGCCCATAGTGGTGGATGAACTCAGGAATGAACTTTTGTATTGGCCTTCCTTCCTTTCACCTAATCTCTTACTCCTGTTTCTGGGTGCTTTCCCAAATAAAGAATTTGCACATAAGCCAGAGGGCTCAGGCTCTTACTCTCCATGGAGAACCTAGATCAAAAGATAAAGGGGAAACTTGAGATTTCTATTTCATTATTTTTGAATTATTAATGGAAATTTTAACTTATAAAAATTTGCATGCATGGATGGGACAGTCACATTAATTGTATCAGCCATTTGTAAGAATGTTAATGACCCAAGATTGGTTGAACATGTGCATTTGACGTTATTTTTCTGATAGTGTTAATGGGTTAGATTTGAAGACACTCACACATTTGCTCATTTTTTCTTATAGGCAGGAGAATCTTGCTGCTTTCCTGTGATTTACCAACCAGAGATTCTAATGTGATATGTTTGGAGTGAAGTTATCAATCTGCATTTTTAATAGGCATCCTCCAGGTGAGTCAGATGGTCATAGACTGTGCTTTGAGAAACATTGCTAGGTTATCACAGTAGTAATAATGCTAGGTATTATTAGATGCATAAAGTTATAATCAATCTTGTATTTCTTAATGTTTCAAGAGTCATTGAGAAATTCATTAGATTTAAAATATTTTCATGTTGGAAGGAAGTGTTTCTCACTTCTAATCTAAATCATTGTAAATATGATAGGCAAAGAACTTGCAAGTGAATAGGTTTAAGATATAACTTTGAAACTAAGAATTTGTCACTCAAGTTACATTTTCACTTTGTCAGGGGTACGTAACTTCAAAGATAATAGTTTCTGGTTGTTTTTAAGGCTGTATGTCTTTAACACATGAACTATTATGTTCTCTATTTCCCAGTAAGTTTTGGATTTATAGACAGTGTAGTTAGTCCTGAGTTATCCAAATTAGCTATTTGTATAAAAACGTTTTATTTATTTACTTATTTATTGAGACAGGGTTTCACTCAGTTGCCCAGGCTGGAGTGTAGTAGTGTGAACACAACTCACTGCATCCTTGATCTCTTAGAATCAAGTGATCCTTCTGCTTCAGTGTCCTGTTGTAGCTGGGTCCACGGGCCTGTACCACTATGCCCAGCTAATTTTTTATTTTTTATAGATACAGGGGTCTCACTTTGTTTCCCAGGCTGGTCTTGAACTCCTGGGATCAAGCAATTCTCCTACCTTGGCTTCCCAAAGTGCTGGGATTATACGTGTGAGCCACCATTCCCCATCAGAACATTTTAAAAACATATTTAAAATTTTTATTTGTTCCTGCCTTCTTTGCAATTGTTTGTAGTAATCTCTACTGTAAACATTTAAAAGTAAATTCAAATTAAATGCTAATTTAATGACTAGTCACATAGACTAAATTGCTTACATATTTAATAAAATAGTTTTAAGAATATATAATTAATTAGGCTGGGTGTGGTGGCTCACACCTGTAATCCCAGCATTTTGGGAGACTGAGAAGGATGGATCACCTGAGGATAGAAGTTCGAGATCAGCCTGGCCAACATGGTGAAACCGATCTCTACCAAAAATATAAAAATTAGCCCGGTGTGGTGGTATGCATCTATAATCCCAGCTACTTGGGGACTGAGGCAGGATAATTACTTAAACCTGGTAAACAGAGGTTGAAGTGAGCCAAGATTGTACCACTACACTCCAGCCTGGGTGACAGAGCAAGACTCTGTCTAAAAAAAAAGAATATGTAATTAATTAGTGGGCTAAATTGGTGAAATGATTCTTTTGTCTTTCTGCACACCATCTACCTACAGTGTCTACAATTTAAGTGAAAACAAGATTCTTTTAGCATGGTTTTAAATTGGAATTATAGCATCAGCAGAAATCTTTTTGTAAAGCAATTAAATATCTTTCAGGAAATTAAGGTTGATTACAAGAGATCAATAAGATCAGTTTGTGTTATAAATGGGTTACTAGTTGGTTCTAATAACTCTTAACCAGTTTTTTGCTCTTTATTCATTCAATGGAAGATGTGTCAATTGACTTATTTTTAGTTCGTTGTGGTATTCTGAACTCCCTTCTGGCCAATACATTTCACAAAAAGCTCCTCCTTTGTGATCTTTGCTCATCGGCTCCATTCCCTAATCAATTAATCAGTCTGAGGCAAATTTAATATTATCTTTAGAAAATGTTAAATCGTCTTCTATCTTCTTGTGCTCCGTACATTTTGGAGTCACTCTCCTCATTATTATTTGCTATCAAAATAATGCAATATAATTTAATATTAGCCTATAATAAATTTAATTCAGAAGGGATTTTTTTTTAATAGGAGGAAACACATTCTAGAGCCCTGAAAAAATAATTCAGTTCGTAGTAGAAAAAGCACAATCCTTAGAGCATGTAGAAATTCTTTGGCTGAGGTAGGAAGATTTAAGACTAGCCTGGGGAACATATGGAGACCACATCTCTACAAAAATTTAAAAAAAAAAAAATTACCCAGGTATAGCGACATGTGGCTGTGGTCCCAGCTACATGGGAGGCTGAAGTAGGAGGATCACTTGAGCCTAGGAAATCAAGACTGCAGTGAGTTGTGTTTGTGCCACTGCATTCCAGCCTGGGTAACAGAGCAAGACCCTGTCTAAAAAGAGAAAGAAAGAGAAAGAGAGAGAGAAAGAGAGAGAGAGAGAGAGAGAGAGAGAAAGAGAAAAAGAAAGAAAGAGAAGAAAGAAAGAGAGAGAAAGAAAAAAGAAAAGAAATTCAATGTCATGTTAGATAATAGATAAAAACAGCTATTGGAAATGGTACAAATTAGAAGGTACAAGTAAGAAGGCACAGTAAGATACAGTCATGCACTGAATAGCAATGTTTTGATCAGCAATGGAACACAAATGCTACAGTGGTCCCATAAGATTATAGTACCGCATATTTTTACCATACCTTTTCTATGCCAGTATATGTTTAGATACACAAATACTTATCACTGCGTTGTAGTTGTTTACAGTATTCAGTACAGTATCATGCTGTACAAGTTTATAACCTGGAAGCAATAAGACGTACCATATAGCCTAGGTGTGTAGTAGGCTCTGCCATTGAGGTTTGTGTAAGTAGACTCTATAATATTCACACAACAACGAAATCTATTTCTAATTTCTAAAATAATTTCTAATTTCTCAGAATGTATCCCTGTTATTTGATGTATGACTGCATTATAATTTGAATTATCTATGTCACATTTGCTTCCATTAGTACAGATGATTGAAACTGAGTTTTTAAAAAGTATTTAAGGCTTTTAATCATCTTGATGTACTGCTCTCACAACACCTTTAATAAAGTCTTATTTGAAGTGAATCTTTAATTGAATTGGATTACATGGGTTTCTGATTTTTTTTTTTAATTTAAGAAGGTTAAAATATTTTCCAACATTATATCTTTTTTAATTTTTTTTTGAGACAGAGTCTCACTCTGTTGCCCAGGCTGGAGTGCAATGGCATGATCTCGGCTCACTGCAATCTTTCCTTGGTAGCTGGGACTACAGGTGCACGCCAACATGCCTGGCTAATTTTTGTATTTTTAGTAGAGATGGGGTTTCACTGTGTTGGCCAGGCTGGTCTTGAATTCCTGACCTTGTGGTTCACCCACCTAGGCTTCCCAAAGTGCTGGGATTATAGGCATGAACTACTGCGCTTGGCTTCAACATTATATCTTAATGCCTTCCAAGATTGCTGATTTAATTTTTATTTTTCCTGACAAAAATTACATACATATTCAAAGTTAAAGTTGACTTATCTTACTGAAAGAAAATACTAAAATACTTCAGCAAATACTGAAGCTATTTGTTGAAATGTATTATATAGTCTATAAAAGGAATGCGAAGGATACTGACATTTGCTGAGCACCTGATATGTTCTACGAACTATGTGAAGTGTTTTACATGATATCTCATTTAATTCTTCCAACAACTCTGAAAGAATGGTATTAGTTTCCTTAACTTACAGATAGAGGAAAGAGAACTCAGAAAGTTTAGTAATTTCCAAGGGGAAAGTAATTTGTAGCAGAGTTATTCAAACCCATGCCAATTTGGCTCAAAAGCTCACATGCTTTTCAGTATACTGCCTTTTTTCTTATAAAGTTAAGAAACAAATGAAAGTGATTATTTTTCAGAGTCAACTTGGACTGAACTAAAATGACCAAATTTAGAAGCATTTCCCAGGTAAGATTTTACCCGTGAAAAGATAAGCGGATTAGGAGAATTAACATTTACTACCAAGAATCACAATTGAAATTTTTGGGCCTTTGGTTCTCAAACTTTCTATAATCATATTTCCTAGGAATTCCTCAAAATAAAAATGTTTAAAACATGTTTTGAGCACTTGTGTGCAAAGCTCACCCCTTAAATAACAGCATCTATCACCTCTAAGATGGATTTTTAAGTCCTGTGATTTCTGTCATTTCTGTCTTCATAACATAATTTTCCTGTCAGCTCTAACCAAATTTTAGGAATGCTGTATTAACTTAGGTAAATCCTAAATTATGAGTGTATAAGAATGACTAAAATAATACAAAAATACATACATACATACTAAAAAAATAGTTGAGACAGCTTAGAGCAGTATTAAGTCAGAAAATGAGAGCGGGATCTACAAGTTGGGCAAATATGAAAGAATGTGAGGCCTTTAAGAGATTAGCATTTGAAGTGGTAATCACCTTCATTATCAATGGTAATCCCATATATTCAGCCACCGTCCCAAAAATGTTTGGGGCAATAATGACATCGATTAAAATATAAAAACAAATGATTTCTTAGTTCACCAAAGATTCATTAACACAACTATACAACACAATTTTACCTTTTTAGATTAGATTTCATGTATTCAGAGGAGTCAGTGTAGGGTAGTGAAAAAATGATTGGTCTTGGTAGTATTCAGGAAACCTGGATGTTCTGGCCCCAGATCCACCCTTAGATTATATAGTAGTGACTTAGCTATATTTTGGGGCTTTTCATTCCTTAATGCAAAAATAAGGTGTTAGATTCATTGGTTGTCCTTTAAGTGTCCTTCTTAGGTAAAAAATGTTACAATTCTAAGTACTTTTAGTGGAAAACACATGAAGATATTTAGGAAGAAAAGAAGTTGCAGTTGTTAAGAAAGCTAGCACTGTTGACAAAAAGAGTTATGTGAAATTGTGTGGCCAGGAATAAAAAGAAATGCATCCTCTACTAAAAGAGTAAAAAGATTTTAAATGAGTGGAACACTTTTTGATTAGGTGTTGAGGTATGTTGGTCTGTATTAAATACATACACACTTGGGAAGCCAAGATGGGTAGACCACCTGAGGTCAGAAGTTCGAGACCAGCCTGCCCAACATGGCGAAACCCTGTCTCTACTAAAAATACAAAAAAATTAGCCAGGCGTTGTGCCTGGCGCCTGTAATCCCAGCTACTTGGGAGGCTGAGACAAGAGAATCTCTTGAACCCAGGAGGTGGAGGTTGCAGTGAGCTGCGATTGTGCCACTGCACTCCAGCCTGGGCAACAAGAACAAAACTCTTGTCTCAAAAAAAAAAAAAAAAATGCACACTCCTAATTTGATTGACAAATTTATATCCTCATTAAAAAAAAAATATCACAATGTGTCAAAATTTTAAAGGACTCAATTTATAGAAAATACAGAAAAGTAATATTTAATAGGACTCGCACATATCTGAAAATGAAAATTTCATTAAATGAAAACTGTAGAATACTCTCCCAAAATATAGAGTTAAGCTTGAAATTTTACCCATGGATTTTATATAAAAATTATATATAGTTCCTAAATAGGTTTCTTCAAAACCATAAACATAAAAAATGCTCAATAAATAAATTAGAATCCCAAATTAATCTTTAAACAGTACAGTATGGTTTAAATTTTTTAAATTGCTGTATGCAATATATTCCCCAGAAACACTAACAATGTGCTCTATTGCTATATATATTACCTGAAAACTAGGTTTCATGTAGTAAATTCAGAAAAATTCAGCCAATTGAAAAGTTTTGATCCATATTACCAAAAAATTGTCAAAACACAATTTATGCTGAATAAAATTAACATTGGTTTGCTGAATTAGTACATTCCTTTTGCAGATAAAACATTGCATAGCTTTTCAGCAGTTTACCTAGATTACCAGAAATTCTATGCAGAACTGCCTAAGAAGTAGGACTACGAAGCATCCAAGGGTTTTCTCTGCAAAATATGAAATCTCATCCAAACATTTATTTACACTTTTAAATGTATTCTTTGTCAACATCCTAAAGAAACTAATATTATAGCCTTTGCGTTAGAAAATAAATTATAGCCTTTGAGTTTGAACACAATGGCAAATTGGGAACCCTAGGGACAATGAAAAGGATGCATCAGACTTGCTCAGTTCAAGGCAAAGTCCTATTAAGATGACAAGAAAGCATTCAGTGTAAATATGTTAAAATTTTTTAAAATTCCCAGATAAAATCATATGTTAGCTGTTATGTTAAATTCAATGTCCCAGAAGACATGAGCTTCTGTTCAACCTCATATCAGTAAATAAAGGGGTAGGATAGTATGCCAAAATAAATCTAAAGGGATTGGTAACATTCATTTTATGTGATACAAACTACTAAAATAAATTAATTGGATTAAGTAAAGAGAGAGCAAAAAGGAAGATTTTTAATATAAATGAAAGGAAGATCCAAGTTTTCTTTCACCTAAAAAGTTTTTCAGACCTAATAGGCATGACAAAACCTGTCTTCATTCCTTTCTATTCAGCTCAGCAAGTGCTTCTGAGCTCCAATAGTTAATCAGTTACCAGATTCCACAATCTTTGTTTTTCACACTCTTCAATTTTTGCTGTGGATTGTTCCTCTAATGTACTTAGAATCACCAGCAGGCCAATACTTTTTGTTTTTGGCCTTAAAAAGGCAATTACTATTTATCCACAATTAGATTTTCCATATAAAATTGTTACCATATAGTAACAGCCTGTAAAACATAATTATATTATGAAGAAGTAGATGGCTTAATATAAATCATTAACATGTGAAATTTATTTGGCAAAATTATTCAGTACAGATTTTAAGATGACTATAGCCATGCACAACTTACAAAAAAGTATAGTAAGAGAATATTATATACCAAATAACCTTTATGCAGACAAATCAATGAACATAATGCAAGTGTTATAAAACAATATCTAGCTTTACAGAAAAGGTATATTGCAGGTATTACTATGTTAAAAATCGATTATCTTTTTAAACATCGTTTCTTAATTTAACTTTCCAAAATGCATAGAAAACTGAGAAATTTAAAATATATACTTACCCTTCAATTTATTTAGAAAACCTCTGCTCTTGGTGAAAAGCAGAAATTATTTCACTGCTCACTTTCCCTGAAGCTATAAACTTAAACATTAAATCAGTGGACACCACCTCTCTGGACCACACTAGTTTGCTAGACACTACTGGTATGTGGAAGAGTTCTGCTGCATCTAAGCTATATACTGTGTACAATGGATAACCTAATATGCCTTTCATTTAACTGGCTGGGCAGGTTTCTACCGTCTGTGGAACATGGAATCAAACCAGAATATGTTGGCACAACAGGCCAGTAAAACCGGTTCTTCTGTAGATCCAGAACCTGTCCAACCAGTCTGTATCAAAGGCTAGCCCAACATGCTGCAGCGGCTCAGCTCTGCTAAGCTTGTACTGGGTGAGTTATCCCCACCTCCCATCAACTCCCAACAAACTACTCAGAATATTGTAGCCTCCAGCAAAATAATTCAGAGTTCTAGTGGGAGGGGTAGATCTGTGTCAGGTATAGCAAGAGTCCATTGTTATAAGCCTCTCATGGTAGACATATATAAGCAAGTTGTCTATTATCTTCAAAGGTAGGTGATCCTTTTAAAAATGTATTCTAGGGCACTCTGCTGACTACAACCTCTAGAAACAGGTTACCTACAATGAAGATGAATCCTATAATGTCTGACCTTTTCCATTAGTCTGCTTGGCTTTGCTTGATCTAGCTTAGCCTTGAGGAGAGAGATTAATATTCCCCACAAGGGTAGTGGCCTTGAGAGCTAGAAGGAAAAATTTCTAGAAGGAGAGAAACAAGGTGTAGGTTGAACAAACATTTGCTTTGAGTGTGTTATCTCCCTTGTTCTCAAATGATCCTCATGCATTCCAGTCTAAAATGGAAAAACTCCTACATACTAGGGAAATGTAAAGAGGTTTTGCTTTGGATATTCAACAGTTCACCACAAAGTATTGATCAACTATGTTTCAAGAACTGTGACAGGTACAGTGTTCACAATGTAAGTAAAATTAGTAAAGAGGGCAGTGTCAAAGTTCTCAATTAAGCACGTCTAGTAAGCTTTTGGAAAGAAGAAATGAGCAGCAAAACATTACATTTTGACAGAAATTAGTTTGTATTAAGAGAGATCATGTGAGATTTGTTCTTACTCTCTCATATACTTGCACATTTAGAAGTAGTCTTTCCTGTCTACTGATGTAGTGATTCTGAAACTTTTGTGCTTAAGAATGATCTGAAGTGTTAAGAGCACAGATTCCTGGGCCTAACTTCCACAGATTCTGCTTCAACATTCCATAGGAATGTTGCCCAAGCACTTCTAGTGATTCTGATGTTGCAGGGACCATAGGCACATATTCCATGCTCAGTTTCTCTTCTATTTTTATATCTAATTAAAAAGAATACATATGGGCCAGGCGCGGTGGCGCACGTCTGTAATCCCAGCACTTTGGGAGGCCAAGGCGGGCAAATTACGAGGTCAGGAGATCGAGACCATCCTGCCAGCATGATGAAATCCTGTCTCTACTAAAAATACAAAAATTAGCTGGGCATGGTGGCGCACTTCTGTAATACCAGCTACTAGGGAGGTTGAGGCAGGAGAACTGCTTGAACCAGGGAGGTTGCAGTGAGCCAAGATCGCGCCACTGGCTTCAGCCTGGTGACAGAGCGAAACTCTGTCTCAAAAAAAAAAAAAGAAAAAAAAGAAGGATACATATAAACCCAAAGTTGTCATTTTTATTTTTGTATCTCTAGTGTCTAGAACATTGACTGGCACTTAGAAGGTACTTAATAAATGCTTATCAGAGTCAGCACTTGCTGTATCTCAGGGGAATCACAACTAGTAGCAACTATATGAATCAAACTCTATTAAATACTATAATTATAATAATTGAGATGGCAGCTCAGAAATGGGAGTATGACTGTAAGTATGGGGAAGACTTCATGTGGGAAATTGGTTTAGAGACTTTTCTTTTTAAACCATGGCCAAAGGTTTCTAACAAAAGGTTAAAGGAACAATAAAAATAATGCCTTTGATTTGATAACAGTAACAAAAGTGTTAAGTATGTGAGGAGACCATGAACTCAAAACTGGATAATAAGGTTATTTTCTACGACAGGCATCAGCAGATTTTTCCTTAAAGGATCAGAGACTAATAAAGTTTGTGGGCCGGATTGTCTCTGTTTCAACTATTCAGTTGTAACAGTATAGCATAAAAACAGACATAGACAATAGTCATTTAAATGAGTACGATATTGTGAAATATGTGTTTGGTCTTTGACCCTTTTTCCTGGTGTATGTAGACTCTCCAAAGTGATGTCTTTGGATGTTAATGAGTTGACTGACAGCTGGCAACCCCTAGGTAGCTTCAGGATGGGGGCTGGTCACCCTAAAGACCAAGGCAGGACTAGAGGCTAAGGATTTTCAGGCCCTCCCCACAACCTGCAGGTTAAATTGATCACTAGTGGCCAGTGGTTTAATCAGTCATGCCTATGTAATGAAGTCCCATGAAAACCCAGAGGACACAATAGCTTTCAGATAGCTGAACACATGGAGCTTCCTGGAGGGTGGTGCACTGTTGAGGGCATGGAAGCACTATACCCCTTCTCAAATGCCTTCCTCATGACTCCCTTCAATCTGTACCTATGGCAATATCCTTTACTGTAAACTGGTAAACATAAATGGTTTCCTTTAGTTCCGTGAGCTGCTCTAGCAAATTAATCCAACTCAAGGAGGGGGTCTTGGGATCCCCAGTTCATAAACAATCAGTTAAAAGCACAGGTAAAAATAACCCAGGACTTGCAATTGGCATCAGAAGTAGGGGCAGTCTTTTGGTATTGTGCCCTCAACTTGTGGAATTTGATTTCTAGGTAGATAGCATCAGAACTAAATTGGAAAATACCTCCCTGGTATCTGCTGCAGAATTCATTGCTTGCTTGTTAGTAGGGGAAAGTCTCCACACAGTTGGTTGCAGAAGTCTTCTATGTTGATTGTTTGTTGTTGAGTGAGAGAATAGAAAAAGTACTTTGAGTGTCAGTGTGCTTTTCTCAACACTATGGGTGTGGATGTGCTCTAATAAAACTTTGCAAAACAAGTAGCAAGCCAGATTTGGCTAATAAGCTGACCCCTAATCTAGAGTAAAACCTGTGAATTGTTAATTGAAAAATTAACAAGATTGCATAATTGACTAGGCAAATGGGCTTTCGAGTCATAAAGACTTAGTTTCTATCCCAGTTTGATGGTCACCTGAATCAAACATCAGTTTTATTTATAAAATTGGAAGCAACATAATAGTACCTACCCCCTAGAGTTATTACAAGATTCAAATAATCATTTATGTAAAGGTTTATCTGAAAATCTAGTGCACAGTAAGGGCTTGATAAAATGTCAACTGAAAATAAAACAAAAGTTAAACATAGCAGTTGAATGTGTTTATTTCTGTTCTTGAAATCCTAATAAAATGACAGTACAGAACCAAAACTGCGTGAACCTTTAAAGTTCAAAAAGTGCAAACCAACAGGAAGTTGGAAAAGATTTTAAAAAATTAAAAAAATATTTATAATCAAAAAGATTGAGAGAGGTAGCAGACAAGAGACATCCATGTATTTTTGCAAGGAGGAATGAGAATGAGTGGTGACTTAGCAGAATAGGGAGGAAGTTTAACTACTTCCCATAATAAAAGCAAGTCTGTCTCTACTGCAGAATGCTGGAAAAATTCAGGATTTGGAGGTACAAGGTACCCTTAAATAGCCTCGGGGAGCAGAGTGGGTTGGAATGTAAAGATTTGTTGAAAATCTGCTTAAGGAACAGTTTACTCCATAGGTCGCATCTCAACCCAGAAGCCTGGATTCTTTGACCTTGACAGAAATAGGTAGTACTTGTTGATTTATGGTAGAAGAATTTATCTTAGATTTGTTCTAGATTTGGGACTACTAAGCAGAGCTGAGAGTGGATAGTAAAGCACCATACTGAAATCTGAGTGATTATATTATTTTCCTATTGCTTCTATAACAAATTATCCCAAACAAAGTAGTTAAAAAACCCCACAATTTATCGTCTTACAGTTCCAGAAGTCAGAAGTCCAAAGTGGGTCTCAGTTGGTTAAAATTAAGGTGTCAGCAGAGTTGCCTTTCTTTATGGAGGCTCTAGAAAGAAATTTTGTTTTCTTGCCTTTTCCAGTTCCTTTCAGCCACCTGCATTACTTGGCTCATGGCTCCGTTACTTCTTTAAAGCCAGCAATGGCTTTTTCACATCATATCATTTTGTCCCTGATTCTCCTGCCCTCCTCTTCTGTATTTAAATCCAACTGAATAATCCAAAATAACCTCCCTTTTTAAGGTCAATTGATTAGCAACCTTGATTCTATCTGCTATCTAAATTATCTTTAGCTATGTAACATAATATTTTCATAGGTTCCTGGGATTAGGATGTGTTGACATCTTTGAGAGGCCATTTTTCTGCCTGCCAGAGAGATTAAGTCAGAGTCTATGTATTGGTTGGTGAGATACCCATGTTTGTTCATCTGCCTGGCTTCCAAATGCTAGTAACTAGGTTTATATTCTTCACTCACAAAGTAGGAAACTGGAGAATTTATCTGAGAAACTCTCAAGACCCTGATCTCCCGAATGCATTGTAAACTAGGACTGATCCACCCACCCCCAGACATTTGGCAATGTTTGGAGAGATATTTGATTGTAATAACTAAGGATATGGGCAATGTACTTTTGGTGTCTAGTGTATAGGGGCCAAGGATGCTGCTAAATATCTTGCAATACACAGAGAAGCTCATCTTCCTGTCCCCCAAAATAATTATTCAGCTCAAAATGTCAATGGGGCCAAGGTTGAGAAATCCTACTCTAATGTTAAGTCTACCAATTAACATCGCCCTAACATAAATCAGTGACTGATTAGAGAGTATGTAAAATGAAAAAGAGAAGAAAAGAAGCCAACAGATAAAAACTTATAAAAAACAGTCAATGCAGGGAATAGAATAGTATTTTAAATTGACTATATTAATATGTTCAGAGAAATAAGACAAGTTACTGATTATTTAAAACAAGAATAGAAAGGCTATCCAAAAGTGGCACTTTTTATAACACAAAAGAGACATTGGAAAGTAAAAATATGATAGTAGAAAGGATGTCAGAGGTATAACCCAGGTAAAGTTTAGTGATTTCACTAAGATTGCCAGATTGGATAAAGATGTAAGACCCAACAGTATGCTACCTGCAATAAACATATTTTAGATGTAAAAAACCTAATAGGTTAATTAAAAGTAAAAGGACCAAAAGGACTTACGATATCAACACTAGTCAAAAGATACTTATATTGCTATTAGACAAAATAGGTTTTAGATCAGAGTATATTACTAAGAAATAAGGATCATTTCAAAATGATAAAGGGGT